GCTTAGGGTAAGCATGTAGGTAACTCTTTTGTTCTCTCACTTCTGTTCCTCAATCCTACATTACAGAACCCCAGAGAGAAGAGGGAGTGAAGAAACCCCAGTGCGACTTGTAGAGATGGCGCCCCACTCCCTTAGTGATGAAGGGTCACCTGCCACCTTGCAGACACAGTCGGGGCAGGACAGAGGAGAAGCAGGGAGGGACTGCCCCCTCCCCCCAGCACCCTTGCTCCCTGGCCCACCTGTAACAGAGCAGCCTCCTGGCTGGGCCACTGCAGGGGGACCTCCATGGAGTGACCTGGAACCGACCCTAAACCTCAGTAAATAGCCCTGCGCCCTGGCCTGGGTGGCTGAGCGGCTTATCCGGGGCTGTCCCCTAAGCAGATCAGTTTCAGCACCAAAGACCTCAGGAGAGGAGGTGGCCTCCCCCTGCAGACAGGAGGGCAGGTGGGGTGGGAGCAGGTACTTTAGGGGACTAATCAGAAACTAATCCACCCCCTCACGCATCCTCATCAACTCGAGGGGGTAGGAGATGAGCTGCTGTCTCAGCACCAGGGTGGGGTGGGGCCTAGAGGCGGGGCCAATGCTGCCCTCAGGTCCCCAGGGCTCCTGCAGAAGGTGTCTGACATGTGAGAACAGGCCCCCACTTCAGCCATCAGCTCTTTCATGCACAGGTCATTCGGGCACTCGAGGGTGGGGCAGCTCCTTGGGGGTGATGCCCAGTGGGAACCAGAACACCCCGCTCTTTGCCTTGGGCGTTCACCCCAAGATAGCCTGTTCCTGCCCTGGGAAATCTGTTCCGGTCACTCACTGAACAAATTACACGACAAAGAAACTTTGCACACACTGACTGATGATAGGTGAATCCTCCCCGGGCATCCAGCATGAGATTCTTGAGCCATGAATACACCCTCTCACCTGCTATTTGTTACTTGCAATTTGTAGGGGGCTCTGAGGCTCCCTGGGGGGCTGAGTGGAGGAAGGTGCGCTGGGAGAAGGAAGAGGGGCCTTAAAGGTTCCCTCAGTGACCATCACACTGCCCAGTCCTTTCCCACCTCCTGGCCAGCTCAGGGGTTCCGACAGGGCAGGGAGCACATCTGCCTGCTGCCCAGTGCTCAGACCCATCCACTCCAGGGTCAGATGGATAGAAGGACGGGATGAACAGACAGACGATGGACAGGCAGATGAAGATGGATGATGGAGTCAGACGAACAGACAGATGGAGCAGGATAGAGGGTGATGAAGGCAGACAAACAGGCATGACTGGACAGATGGACAGAGTCTGACAGACAGACAGGAGACTAGAGACAGAAGGACAGAGGGACAGGGCCAAAAGGAGCGACAGCAACAAAGACAGAGAGGGTAGGCAGGGTGAGGCAGCTGGGCCGGGTGCTGCATGGAGGGGCTGAAAGTCCCCTGGGCCCCCATCCCCCACCTCTCCTCTGGTAAGAGGCAGGAAATGATCCTAGCTGCTTCTGCCGCCTGTCTGAGCAAGGGGGACTCTCTCCCACTTTCCAAGGCCGGGTAGGTGGGGGCGAGGTTGGGGGGCCTGCAGGGAGAGTCGCCCTGGAGAGGAGCAGCAGCTCCTGGGTTCCTACCAGCTTTGCGAGTAAATTCATCCTGTAGCTTCCCAAGTACAAGCCTCATAAGATGTCACCACTGTTCACGATGGTTTATAAAAAGGACCACCTCAACGGGCAACTTCAAAATGAGGTAGAAATAAGTTTGAAGATGTTTTCATTGTAATTTGGCTCCAGATCTAGGCCTCGGAGCCAGGCTGGGAGTGGGCAGGACCAGCTCCACCCGGGGGCCCTGCCGGGGAAGCTCAGCCAGACCTGATGCTCACTGCCCGCTGCCCTTCCTGCGGCCGCCCCATAGGAGGATAAGACTTGACCCCACTGACCAGAAAGTACGGCCTGGGCACCACCCACAGACTGACCTCCCCTTGCCCCCCTGGAACCAGAAACGTGGGTCTCCTAATGCCCCCAACCTCCTCTCAGGTCCCCTCACTGTTATCTCCCTCCATCCTGTCTCCACAGCCTGAATCACTGTGGACTCAGCCAACCCCCCACCTGTTGGGCAGGGCCTCCAGAGGACCTTTCAACACATACACCTGGTCGCTCTTCCAGCTCAAGAACTTTCGGTGGCTCCCCCCTGCCTGGAGGACAACACCCAAGAGGCCTAGCATCCAAGGCTCTTTAACGTCTGATGGAGCTAGACTTGCTGACTGGGAACCTCCTCCCCTCCCACAGCCCCTCCCCTCATTTCTCCATGTCTTTGCAGACATCCCCTTTCCCTAGGGAACTCCTATGCTTCCTTCAAGATCCCACTCACACATCACCATTCTCACCTCCTGGTGGGTCTTTGGGAGGGTGGGAGGGGGCGGCTATGGCCTCATCTTTGGGCAAATGGGCTCAAATGGCCAGTCCCATGTGGGAGGGGGACTGCCAAGGCCCAGGGACAAGGCGACAGACAGACCGCAGATGAAGGAGGGGAGGAAGGAGGCGGCCAGAGAGATTTAGAAGCAGACACGCTGTGTGGGAGAAAGCCTGGCCCAGCCCCGACCTCACCTGCAGGACGTCTCTCGGAAGGAGATGTTCACATCCCAGTGGGTGTGGACCCTGGGAGGAAAGAAGGCGATCAGCACGGCCTCTAGGACGGCAGCTGGACAGCAGACGGGTGTGTGGCATGTCCCTCATCTGCCCCCAGCACCCCCTGAGGAACTGCGCAGGCTCAGGCCTGTCTCCAACGCCACCCGGAACCAGTTCAACCGCGAGGGCTGTCCCAGGAGGTGGGAAGCACAGAGCTGAGGCACCGTCTCTGCTGGGACCGCGAGAGCTGAACGCTGTGCTGGGGTGGGGGCTGCAGCTCCCTCTGCATGTCACTCATGTGGCCAAACCCAAACTCCTAGTGGCTAGAGCTACCCCAGCTGGGCTGGAACCAAGCCAGGAATGAGCCCGCAACTGCCGCCAGTGCCAATGGCTGGGTGTCAGCCGGGTATAGCCTCGGGGTCCTAGCTGTTGCCAACTGCCTTCCCAAAAGTGATCACGGCACTACGGAGGCAGCGGGGACGCCAGGACCAGAGGTCAGGCAGGAAACAGCTCTGCCCCGTGCCCGGCTCTGCCCCGTGCCTGGCTCTGCCCTGTGCCCCGTGCCCGGCTCTGCCC